GTTGAAGTGGCAGTAAATAAACTATAGAAACGGAAAAATACAGGGCTCTTTCAAACTAGCATCCCCTCAAGATCAGGGAGGAGAATAATCACCACAGAGGAATCGTTGTTTATTGTCCCTTAGCCTTACAAATATTTATTGGAAAAACACAGACGTTGAAGGGATGGTTGAGAGGAAAAAACTTGGTTCCAAAGACTGCTTTCTGTGGCTTGATATTTCTAGTACTTTCTGGTCAAATTTCTTACTAGTGTCCCTTAGTTTTCTAAAACTGTGGAGCGACCCAACACCTCCTGATTATTGCACATACAGTGCACAGTCTCAGGATTATCATTCTCTACAGGTGCATTAATTTCCTTCCTTTTCCCATGTATAGACAAAGGCACTCCCTTTTCCCCAAGTGAGGAGTGCTGATTAGCAATGAGCAATGAGATTCAATTTATCTACAGGAGAATACAGTGTTTTTAAGAGAGCGATATTTCATCCAGATTTTTTCACTTCAATAACTCTTCAGAACTGCTTGGGTGTTAACCCAGGACAAGCAGTAGTCATTACATTACCGTGGAATCTATGTTTACTACTTTATCAAAAAAATGCTTGTTTTTGCATCCACAGTGATGAACATACTTTCCACATTTATCATTTTATTGGTAGCAATTTTAAAATGTGCATTTATCCAGTTATCAATTTTCCTCACATCATAACTTTTGGAAGTCTTGGTCACTGTTTTCAACATCAGCTATAGAGACATTCAGAGTAGTTCAAGGGCAGAAGGTGCAGAAATGAGTGCCTATAACATACTGTTCTTTCTGAATGTTTTTCTAGAAATAACATGCCTGTTCTAATATACTGGGAAAATACTACGCTGACTAATAAGCTTTGCTGTTACAAGGCTATATGAGCTTATTACTTTAAAAAACCTCTTCAAACACGTTTTATATTTGCTGTCCACTTTAAGAGTGTGAATTACCTGAGATCAGATAGAAGTAGATCAGATGGTCAAGATATGTTGTTTTATCCCACAGCTACTGGAGAAAACACATTTTTGTCAAAGAAACCATGCTGCCTGAGGTCAGTGTCAGAGAAATATATTCAGGACTCTTTACCTGAACCCAAGACTACCAAGCTTGACTATTCATTAGGAGGCACTGTAAATTATTCAAATTAATATGGGTCACAAATCTGCCAAAACCTTACTAAATTCTATTTATATGCATTATAAAATCTTTCCAATGTCTTGTGGAAAAAATTACTTTTCCTGTTAAAAACTTATTTGTAACATGGAAATGTTTTGTGAATCATATTTGTCAGCTACACGAAAGGCCACCAATTATATTACTCTCACGGCAAAAATTATGCCTTTTAGTGTTGGTACCCTAACAAAACTCATACAAGAATAAATCACTCCACCTAGAGAAAAAAAACAAACATTTGCAAATTGGATTGAAGCTCTTTTGCAATAAGATGCCTTTATGTCATTCCATTGCACATGAAAACAAAACACTGCTTTTACCAATTTAGTAATCAGTTTTGTTCAGTAGGTCCACAATATAACACAAAGCTGCATTTTTCTATTTCTTTCCCTAGAATACGTATCTATAGTGGTAGCATGATTAGAAGTTCTAAAAGTCTTTTACTAAAAGAGTCAGCATGGCTCTTTTAGATGGCCAGTGTTGTTTCTGTTTGCACTACATAAATATTGCCCATGAGTAGGGGCCCAAAACTTGAAAGAATCTCTTAAACTGCTGATTGTAGTCTTCTGCTACCACAGGTAGACAATTTGCTTTTCACTAATATCACAAAAAAAAAAACAAACAAGAAAAAAAAAAGCAAATGAATATATAGAAAACAAATAGGAGCATAGGATCTTTTGCTGTAGCACCTATCTTACCATTTTTTGGACAGAACCTTCTCATTTTAGCCAAGGGCTAAAACTGTTAGTTTCTATATGGTTGGTTAGGCATGTTATCTACCATCCTACCTGTTTCAGAAGATTCTCCTTTCATTCTCCTCATCTTCCCTGTTCACTTCTCAGAATACACTCTAGCTTGAATGAACCTTTCTTGCAAGTCGACAAGAAAAATGGCACAGCCATACAAGCATACACTTCCCAAAGGCTGCTATGTTGTATGCAAGAGGGTGTTTCTGCATAACACACACCAGCATCACTCAAGCATTTCACCTGCTGCAAGGAAGTCACCTTCTTCTTCTCGTACTCCAAGAAGAGGATGTTCTATTATTTTTAGACCAACCCTCACAACATTAAGTCATTATTTCACCAGTGCAAGGGCAATTCCCAGGATGCTCTGCTATTCAAAATGATCCCAGTTGCAGTATACAATTGTGGCTGGTAAAATACAAGAAAATCTTATTTCATTGACTATCTTTTTCACAACCTTCCTGTAAAATTTGCTAATTCTTGCTACAAGGATTACCAATCTACTACAGTTAATGACAGAGAATATAACTACCTCAGTATGGGACTTTCTGTGAGTTGTTTCATATACTGTGAGTCTGATTCTAGGTGCTTGATTTGAAGTACCTGAAGTCTTATTTTTCCATGTTAATAAGCACCACTACTCATAGGTGGCTGCTGGAAAGTAGCAGCAAACATCCTAGTGAGAGGATGAGTGCCTGGATCACGAGTTGCCACCCTGGCTAGCAGCACTGACATCTGCACTGTGCAAATCTCTGTTTACTGTATTTCAAACTTACAAAGACAAGCTCACTTTTGGCTTGAGACCAAACCCAACCATTTAGACTAAAAGCTGAATTTTTTTCAAGAAATGAGATTCACTGGCCACTTTGCTCTTTTGTTATCATCAATCATTTATTTTTTGCCAACCTTTTTCCCTATTTCAACCTCCATTAAGAGTAGCTAGTAGAGGTGGAGTGCGACTTACCCACCGAGACCACTGAGACTCTTCCCTCAGTATGTTCTTCAGTGTTTTAGAGCTTGTCATATATTAGAGAATTAATAAACTCTCATCTTCCCCTATTTCCTTTGTAAAATTACTACACTGGCTAATACAGTTTTGAGGCTTCTATAAACTTATAAATGCTGCAGTAATTTCAAGTGTTTGTGTGGTTTGCTCAGCTGTTTCAACATTTCTCACCTCAGCCATCTTTTCTCCCTGTGAACTCACATCCCAGAATAGCTCTGCATCAGTGAAAAACAACCATGTGATTGAAAGCATTTATACCTTTCATAATTAATGAAAAGGCTTGGGAACTTCTGTTCATCTTAAGACTAGAGGGAACTATGTTACTGTTGTCACAGGCTGAGAGCTGGGGGAGTTTGGTGTATAATGTGCTGTATGTAAATTTACCACAGAATCATAGAATCATTAAGGTTGGAAAAAACTTCCAAGATCATCTAGTCCAACCGTCCACCTACCACCAATATTTGCCCACTAACTCCTGTCCCTCAGTGCCATATCTCCATGTTTCATGAACATCTCCAGGGAGGGTGACTCCATCACCTCCCTGAGCAGCCTGTGCCAATGCATCACCACTTCAACTCCCAGGGATTTACTCTTGCCAGTTGTACAACAGAAATAACACCTATCTTGAGGTGTCTTCAGACTTCCCAGCAGAAATGCCACCTAAAGGCACACCGCCGTTACTCACTGCAACCTGCCAAATATCACAGTCACCTGGTACTATTCACAGCACAAATGTTCTTTCTGGTAGGGAGCACATGTCCCTTAACATGAGTGTAGAGGTGCTATGTGGGCAACCTATCTCAATGCTGTGCTGCCCTGAAAATTGTGGCCTGACTGTCACTTTTCTCCAAGAAATCTGCTTTGGGATAGCAGGACTGTAACTGTTAGACCTGAAGAAAAAGACTTTTTCCCATCAGTTCTGAGTAACTTGGTGCTATAGGGTAAGCAAATATCAGCAAAGGAAATGTGATATTCAGGTTATTTCTCAACACCACACTTCTGTTTCATGACACAAAATATTTTTAAAAGTGTCTCTTTGAGGAAGATCCTATCATCTAAGTATTATTTAATTTGGCATTCGATATTTTCTAAATTAATATCCACAAACCATTTTACTCATAGTTAACTTATTAAATCTACTGACAATCCTATCTTATTTCCACCTGCAAAAAAGGTAAAATTCATCAAGTATTTTCAAGAACATTGCAGATGAGCTCTGCAACAATTTCAGCAGGGACCTGCAGAATAGTAAAAAACAAACAAACAAAAAACCAAGCAAACATACAACAAAGAAAAAAAAACACAAATAAACAAAACAAAAAACCAAACCAAGTCTTAATAAATATTTCTAACAAAACAGCAAATTAGTCCTTGTAATAGCCTGAATCATTCACCCTTCTTCATCTGAAAATATCTGAGAAAATTGCCTGAAATTATGGCTGCTAGAAGTGAGCTACAAGTGAGTGCTTTCAAGCATCATCCTGGGATCTTTCAGATAGAATTTTGTCCATGAGATGACAATGCATCCCTTGAAAAATTAGTTCAATACATTCAGATTTCTCAGAAAGATACATTTTTAATTTCATGAATATTTCCTTAACCAGTGTGAACCTTTTACCTAGCACTATGCATTTCTGAAATACTGGACTGGTTTCAGTACTACACATGGTGGAGAAAAGTGCATCTAAATTGATGCAAGTCCAAAAAAACAAAAAGAAATTTATTCTCACTGATACATGGTATATCTGAATGCTAGAAAACACATCAATTAACAGCATGTGTAGAGACTTAAGCTTGAAAGTATCTGGAATGCCAACTAAACATGTCCAGCTCTACTACTTACCTAATATCTAATGCAGACATATATTGTCCAATATTTCCCCTGGCATTTTGTCTCCAGGCAAAACTTTCTTCCTTCTTCTTTTAAATCAGAATTTAAAATAAATAAATAAAATAATAAGAACACCCTCAAATCCACAATCACTATTATTACTTCTTCCTATAATAAAAATAATAAGAAGAAATGCCATTAACTCCTTTAGTGGTTCTCACCAGCATATATACTTCAACTTGTGGAAGACACTGCAGACAGCTATCAGAAGTATGTCACTGTAGTGCATCCAACCTTTCCATCCATGTGAGTTGGCTACAATAGGGACATTTGTCATATGGATTCTAAAAAGGAGAGGAAAAAATGAATTTCGACAGCTAAACAATTATTTCTCCAATATGACAGATTTTACAAAGTATTTTAAGCAATTCTAACCATTATGACCCCATTATCCATGCTTTGTACAGCTGTATTCCCATTTACACACTGCACTCCTAATGTAATTTCTGAGTAATTGTGCACAGTGCATTGAATCATAGAAAGATTTATACTATCTCAAGAGAAACCAGAGTATTGAATCTAACCATGGCTCTACCTTCCTGTAGCTGGAACATGGCAGCAACAACATGGCATGCAAGCTTTTCAGAGATCTGGGGAAGTTCTGGAAAGCAGCAGTCTCTTATGATACTGGATGGGATCAGCTTGCATCATTACACAGTAGAGAAGTATAGCAGAAATGACTTTCTTTTAAAGGATTACTGCTGGATATGGAGAGGTCTATTATTTTTGGCAGGTTTCAGGTGGGCTGTGCATAGGGAAAAGGCACCCTCCTTCTACCCAGCCTTGGGAGACAGGTCAGAATGCGTGTCTTCATGAAGAAGCACAGATGTGTCCTGTAGGAACTTAGAGACCGAGAGAAAAAAGAAACAACATTTTCCTCCACCAATATATTGGCATAAATATAACTATAATGCAATCTACTATCCTAGATATAAAATGAAATCATTTAAAAAGGACTGAATCCTCTGTGGATTTTCTCAGTGTATCAGCATGAAGCTATTTAGGCCAGATGTTCTAATAATTCTGATGCATTAGGAGATGCACAGCACTGTAGCCAAGTGTTAGCACACTGAACTATAATGCAAAACATGTAAAGACTTCCAAAGTTATTAGAAGTTTTCATTCTAACCACTTTGCTCCCTTAGTAGCTATGTTTTCTTTACAATATGCACTTATGCTTTAGGGCACACAGAACAGCTAACAACCCCTCTCATCCCACCAAAATCTCTGCATTCCCTGGAAGAACATAGAGGGGCCAACTTAGGACTGATATAGGAGCATTGCAGGAATGGAAATCTCATATCTGAACAACAATAGCATACTCAAGGCGGACAAGAGGCCAACAAGCCACAGCTGGGTACCACATGAGCAGGTGAAATAGCGATGTTGAGATTTTTGAGAACACCAAGACAGATTGTTTCACTCCTTAGTAATCAAGTGCATATGTAATGGATTTAAGTATTTGCAGAGGTAGTTTTAAAGATATTTAAGCAGGTGCAATTTCTACGTTGGAACGGTCTAATAAAGAGAAGTAACAGTAAAGAAAATATCACTGAATCATAGGATGGCTTAGTTTGGAGGAGACCTCAAAGATTACTGAGTCGCAACTCTCTGCCAAGGACAGGGCTGCCAACCACCAGATCAGGGGTCCCAGGGCCTCATCTAACGTGGCCTTGAGCTTCTTCAAGGATGGAGCATCCACAGCCTCTCTTCGTCGCACAAAAAAAAGGCAAGAGCATGTCCTTAGAAGGATGCAAGAAACAGAGCATGAAGAAATAGATAGGCACTATATAGAAGGATAATGTGGGGGGATACCTTGCCCTGAGAGCCCATTCAGAAAAATCCCTGTCACTATAAATTAATTACTCAGGAGCTGAATATATTTCAGAGCTCATTTCTGCACTGTCTACTTGCCAGGGTGTTAGCTGAGAGGTCTGTGACTCTTCAAGACCTTGTCAGCCTTAGAGGACAAAATGTGATCCAAAATTAACATAAAAAAATTACTGGGGTTTAGAACTTGCCATCACAATTCTTAATGCAATTTTTTCCTAGAACACACCTTACACTTCAGACAGGAAACCAGAACTGAGAGTTGCAGCAACTTCCATTGCTTCAAGTGGGGTTTAATCTATTTTCTTTCTTTTTTTTTTTTTTTTCCCCTCCTTAGTAAAATATGCTGAAGTTTCAGTTACACCCGAGCTTTCTCATGCTCTTTAAAAGGTAAGCAAATGTTTCCGGATTTACATATCAGGGCCATATACAGTGCACTGATGCAATCTGCCATAAGGTATCACTTCAACTGTTGATACTCTGATTATCCTCTATGGTAAATGGAGGGTTTGTTTCACTTCCACAAGACAAATGTCTGGTAATCAAATTTCCTGCATGCCACTTGCCAACTATTCTGTTCCTTTTTTTCCCTCATGACTACACAAAAATTTGTCATTAAACTGTATTAGGCATAATTACTTCAGTTCACACTTCCACCTGCTACTTTTACTCAAATATAATACGGGGGTTTAAATTATTCAGATGAGAAACCTGTATTTAAAAAACAGAAAAAGAAAAAAAAAAAAGAGTTTGAAAAGATAAAGCAGGTGGCAGAATTAGTCCTCCAGTGTTATAGAGCTAATCCCAAACCTTGCATTATTCACAGATAATTTAAACCACTCTATCCTTTTTAAGTTGGATACAGTCCTGGATAGCTGTTGGACAAAAGCTGATGACATCTGTAACTCCTAGATAGTTCTCCTCTCTTTAACAACCAAAAAAGCAAGCATTTAGCATGCTCTAGATTGTTCTATATTGTTTCTAAATTGCTGCTCTACAATTTTAAGTCTGGTTCTTGCATCATCCATTTCATCCTTATCTACTTGGCAGCTCAAAGGTTAAATGAAGCAACGATCTTACAACATTCTTTAAATCACGGTAACATAGGTGGTAATGAAAAACCTTAGTCTTGAACTCTCAAACTATGAAAATATTATCAAATAGCTATTACTGTCATGCTTACTCATGAATCACAGACTTGCAGACAATTAACAACTCGTGTATTGTAACAACTCTGAAATGCTTTTGAAAGCTTTGACAAAAAGAATGAGAAAGATTAATAATAAAAATGCATATTTGCCAGGGGTTACTCATTTCCTTCCTTATCACTTCTCGTCTTGTATGAGCTCTAATACAGAAGTACCTAAATGACTCTTTAAGAAACAGAAAGCTCCACTGGGAAGCATGCCAAAAATCATGGCCAGAGGCAGGCTTCTGTTGAGAATCCCATATTAATGTGCAGAAAAAAAACAGCTCCACCTGCAAAGGCTACCTAATCTCAGTTCTTAAAATCCTGTTCATGCTACTTCAATGGCAGTAGTTCTTGCAACTTGACCAAAATGTCCTCTGAGGAAAGAGGTTGTTGTCAGAGGATAAACGATTCAAAGCCACTACCCAAGCACCTGAGTGCTTCATGCAGATATTCCATGCATGTTTGTTACTCAACAAAAGCATTTGATCTCCATGTCAAATAAAATCCTTAATAGTGAAATAATAGCTTTAAAATTGTAACTATTAGTCGCTGAGATTCTGCAAATGCTGAAGTTCCTTTCTCTATGGAGCTATTAACTAGGCAATGTCTTTCTCTATACAAAGAATAGATAGTAAGGACCTTGTCAGAAACCATCGCTTGCATTATCCAATTCCTACACTTCATTTTGCAGAATTGTTCTTTTTCTATATCATTTTCACTGATGTTTAGCTATCTCCCAAATGGCTCAGAGAATCCACTTTGCTTAAGTAACTTCAGTTTCTTCCAGAATTCAATTGTTACAGAAAATAATAATAATAATAATAATAACAATAATCCTGATATTCTCTTCTTTGGCTTTGTATGTGAAACATGGGGACTTGAGTACTATATTTATGACTACACACAGTGAGAGAATCATAGCAAAATGCCTGCAGAGGAGAAACAACAGCTCCAATGGCCAAGTGGGGAGAAGCTAACAGAATAATATTTCAATAATAAATCACCCAAAACCAAATAAAATAAATCAATCACCACAGCTAATATACTGTTCTGTCCATTCCTTGTGCAAAGATCTCTTTTCTCAAAATTCTGTCATAAGAAATGTAACAAAATGTTATATATTGTTGTATATACATGTTACAAAAATATAATTCAAACATGTTTACAACTGATGCCAACATTATTAGCAGGCTTCAAAGCTCATGTGTTTGTTGTTTGTTTTTTGTTTTTTTTGATCAGCAAGACTATGACTGGTTAGTCCAGAGCCAACTATATATATTTTTAGTAGCTCTTAGGTTACTGCAGTGCTTCTTGAAATAAAATGTATCTCTACTTTACTTGTTTTCAAGTGCTGGAATTCACTGCTGAGTTGATGCAAAATTCATTCTACCAGACTTCTAGCTTTGTTCATAAAAATAATTTTTTTTAAAAAAAAGGATCTCCTTAAGTTTTGTATAAATAAGTTTTGTATAAAAAAGCAATGCACATGAAGGGAATGCCATTTATCATTGCAAAACAAAACAAAAACAACAACAACAAAAAAAAAACAAAAAAAAACAAAACGAAACCTTGTGCAGTGATGGGAGTAACTGCAGGAACCCAGTTTCAGTGTATTTGTAGTGGTTTAGGTGTAGCTGATCCTGTCCTGAGTGGGGTTACCTCTGCTCCTATTTTAAGGATACCTACCTTTTTTTCAGTGCGGGAAACAGCAGCATTAGACAGGTGAAGATGAGTGCTCACCGCATCAATGTGGATATCTTCCCACAAACTATTGATCTGTTTTGGCCACTCTTGGGACTTGAACAGTGTCATTTTTGTATTCAGCAAGGCAATGTTAGCATTCATTATAAGCGTTTACACTGCCAGCAGCTATTTTTGAGAGACTTCAAGATCAATTTTTGATGGATTAGTTGCAATATTAGATCTGATGTAGAACAGTTAAAGTTCCAAAATATTATTCCACTGTGGTTCCACAATACATCATAGCAATACACTGTTGCAATTATTTCTCCCAAATTCTGTTAGGGGTGTGGGTTATGAAATATTTCTAAAAGAAATGGGAATATAAGTCAGAGACATAGTATTTAGCCAGTTTCTTTTCTCTCAGAAACATCAACAGAGAGGGTTGACTTGACATAGCAGCCTCTCCTCACCGCAAATCCATGCTTACCATATTGTGAAAGACAGACTTGGCAGCCAAACACCACGTTATGACATGTCTTCATTTCCTCTTCCTTGCCCCTGCCCACTTAAGGATTTGGCAGATCCAGTAGGAGATTGCTCACCTGCAATATGAAATCCAGGACTGCCTTCCTGACTGCTCTGAGGACAGTTGTTTACATTCCATTCCCACCACTAATTTCTTCTTAGTACCCTTACTTTATCCTAGGAATGGCATCACTACTTTTCCTGGCTTTCCAAGCTGCCTTTCTTGACCCTTGCTCCCCCACTCCCAATTATTTCGTGAGCACAAGCAGCCATCCTTGTTCAGCATTTGATCAAACCCATCTACCAGATGCTCATCTGCTGTCACATGCAATTCATCCCATTTCAACATCTGACACAGTTTTTCACAACTATTGATCTACAAGCTCTGCACTGCCCCATGCTTCCCTTCCCATCCCCGAGTCTCTCTCCATCCATCTGTTTGTCACTGTGCCATGACATGTAATCATGACATGTGTCTTTCCCCACACAGTTCATGCAAGACACACAAACCTCCTTAAGGGACTCATCTCTGCCTTATGCCAAGCAATAACTAAAATGGGCTTGTCATCTGCATCTCTTACTCCTTCTAAGATGATCTCTCTCTTCCTCACTGTGTCCTGAGTGGACACACCTCAGAGCCAACACCAGCAGAAGGATGACTCCACTGACCCTCACTAAGGCTGCTGCACTGTGCAGAACCAGTCATACGAACAACTGTATTTCCCCAAACGCAAATACATTTTTAAGATCAAAACTTACACTTTGAAATTTGGCCCAGCAAAATATTGCCTTTTCATAATATTCCTTCAGTTCTTATGGGTTTTTCAAGGGCACCCCATCTTCTGTGCACACACAAGCTCTACAGGACGATGATTAATATGACCACATCAGATCTGCCAAGATCTGCTAGTACCTGCATGAAAGAACCGCGTTACAGAGTTCGCGTTGAGTTGGAAGGGACCATTCAAGATCATGTAGTCCAACTGCCAAACAAAAGAAATTAAAAGCAAAAACTCTGTCTCATGTGACACTTTCTTTCAAAATACAGTACAAACCATACATCAGCATAGCACATCAGCTACAACTTAGTTTGATTCCCTGGTTTATTCTCCCTGAAAGAGAGAAGACAAGAAAAAACAAAGATCTGCTTCTACAAAGATAACAAAGATCTACAAAGATAACTTCAAATTATTCTGGCCTTTAATAAAATAAAGGCTACATTTAAAAACAAATAGGAAAAGAGGCAACAATCTGGATGTAGTAAAATTTTACTCCCACTAAAAACAATGGGACATAAGCCCAGTAGACTTCATGATGTGTAACCGCTATCACCACGGATGCCATTTAGTTAGGTGCCATTCCCCTAGGAGAAAAGTACTAAAGCCACATACACTGCACAGCTTTCCAATGCAACAAATGGGCACTACAGGCAACCAATGGATGCATACAACAAAGGGAAAATTTCAAAACAAATACAAACCATGCTTATTTGAAGTTCAACATTCAATACAATTCTGTATGGTACTCATTAGGCAGGAGTAATCTCTGTGGTACTTTCTACAAGGAAAAAAATGAAGTATATTATGACCATAGAATTATTAAGCTTGGAAAAGACCACTAAGATTATCTATTCCAACCTCCAACCCATCACTACCACGTCTACTAAACCACGTCCCTCAGTACAAAGCAATGTTGAAACTGTCATCTGCTACATGCATTCCTTTGTTCCTGAACATCATTGCCTTAACTAGAAAGTATTTTCCTCTCCAAAGGTCACCTTCATGTTGCTTTCATTGCTACCAAAAGTATACATGCTGTTGTCCTAACTGAACAAAATTCACCAACATTGGAACGTGCAAGCTATCAGAGAGCTTATTTAATCACACAAAATGAAATAAGAATACAATTGCAACATTACTTACATCAGGACACAAAATTATCCAGTAAAGGCAAAAGAATAGGTTTTCTAGCTCACTGTCCTCATGAATGTGGTGAAATAATGCTCTGGGATCATGTGTGGGATCACATTTGCTGGCAGAGTATGGCAGACCTAAACCAACAATAAATGAGATATTTATTTATTACTTTTTCTTCTCTCTAAGCTGCCTGAAATAACAACATTGGTGACTATATACTATCTCTTTTGTCTGAACAAATGTCTGTTATGGAGCCAGAAGTGTCAGTATAAAAATCAGCATTCTTCCTTACATTTGGAAGAAAGCACCTCATGCCCATCTTCTGTCATCCAGTATTAAAATCCTTTGGATAACTTTTGAATGCTCATACCTAGGTTGTTGTAAATACAATAGCCTTTAGCATACTGAGAATGACATTCCTGAAAACTATAAATTATGTTTAATAGAATAAATAATCCCAAGTTAATAGTGGTAAGCAAGCAAAATGTAGAACCTGTCACTGTACTGAATGTATTGCTTTCATGATTCAGTGTATAAAGGAATTCAATTTCTTTAAATTTAAATTAAGCTGCCGCAAAACATTTAGGTTGTAGTGTCAGAAATACAAAGAATTCAGCACCCTAAGAAACTGGGCCCTACTTGGTGCTGAAATAAAACTGCCAGAGTTAGGGGGGTAAGCGCCTTTCTTTTGGGCAGCAAGTGCTGGCTGTGGTTAAGGAAATGATACCAAGCTACTCCACTCACCAGTACAGCTGCCTCATACAGGATGAGACTGAGAATGCAAGTAGATGGAAATGATCTGAGGTTACAGGTGTTCAGCATCTGGACAAAACCAGCAACTTTCAAACATGAGAGTTGCAAAACTGTGTCATATGTCTTTTAGTCTTCTGGGAAATAAAACATCTCATTTAAAACAATGGAACCCATAATGGATTTTTTGAAAGAGATCTGCAGGAGAGAGTTCCAGAGCATAATTCGCACCTACAACAAAAAGAGTTAGCTTTTACCAAATCTGATATAACTTAGTTCTCTTCAACTTCAGCATCCACATCTTTCAAGTGTATGCAGGTTATGTTCGTATGTCACTGTCTGGGAAATATTACACTTTTTCCAAATTCTTTTCATCAATCAGGTCTACAACACAGATTTTCCAAAGCAATATTGAAAACAGTAAATATCAATGAAACTAGTAAAATGTTGAAAATACAGAATTTTTTCTTTTCCTATAGAGAGTCTCAGTACCTACAGTGGCTATTCTTTGTGACAAAAAATATCACGTGCATTTCCTCTGCTGCTGCAATCACAACTGAAAAGCAAGACACAGTACTTACTGCAATTCTTAAAAACAAAAACAAAAAAAAAGAAAGAAAGAAAGAAAGAAAGAAAGAAAGAAAGAAAGAAAGAAAGAAAGAAAGAAAGAAA